TCACTCACACACCGGCGCAGATGCCGGCGCGACCGGCACGCTTGATCAGGAAACCTAGCGGCCAAAAATTTGGGAGAATCCTCTCTCTACTTTCTCACTCTATTCCACACTCTTTGGTGTTCTTAATTATACTCCAATTAACTATATTAAGACCAAGTTAAAAAATAATATCTCCACCACCTTGGGATGATACCCACTATTTAACTCTCATCCACCTCTTATCAACCATTCATGGTCTCTTTATCACTCATCTAATCCCTCCTTATTTTTGCACCAAAAAATCGGCAAGAATTTCACAAAGGAAAAAAGGAAAGAAAATCACCCTAATTGAAAAGAGACGAAAGAATATCAAGATTGGATCAAAACGGCTAGAGAAAGAAGGAAACTGAATATAAGACATTCATATCCGGGATGAAAGGGAAAGTAACAAAATAAACCAAATTACAAGAGGGAGAAAAGTAAGGAAGAGTGAAATTTTACGCTCATATTAGAGGGATCAGTTGAACATTTTATTTCCCCCTAGATTTCCCCTCCCCTTATTCCTATAATAGCTTTCGACAACGGAGGAAAAAATCTTGAGAATGTAATTTTCCTCTAGCATTTACATTTTCCATCCAGAATACTCCTTTTCATGGTGGCTAAGTTGAGGAGACCTGTATGGACTCAAAGACACGCTGAAAACTGACCACTCCTCCCTATAAAACCTAATAGAAAGCCTATACATAGACTTATATGAGGTATGAGTTCGGTAGCTAGTGAGATGAGGCATTAGAAGACCATTACTCTGCCAACAGACTGATTCAACCGACTTAGAACTAAACTAGCTATGAAGGGCAAACAGATGCCAGAAACGACGACCTAGTCCGCGTTGGCTCTGTTCTACCCACCAATTTGGAGCTCTATGGTAGGAGGGGCTATACGGTCCGGTCCGGTTAAATTGGTCTGAATTGATGCGATCTCATTCCGGTCTTTTCTTCAATATGAGGACCAAAGACGGGATTCGATACAGTCCGGTCTTGATCTAGTCCGTTCTCGACCTAGTCCTGTCCCAATCTGGTCTTGATTTTAGATTGAGCTTGTGGGTGTTGGGCTCTCTTATCCAGTCTTTATTCGGTTTTCGGTCCGGTCCCAAATTGTTTTTTTTACCTCTAATCTAAGCCCGAAGACAAGATTGGATTGTTTGCTATTCGGTCCCAGTCGGATCTCGGTCTGAGTTATACGGTCCGGTTTCGAATAAAATCAAAAAACCCAAACCAAATAGCCACCCCTACTCTATGGGGACCTCGTTTTGATTTATGTACCCCATGAACTCATCGTAATGGTCAACTTGTTCCCTTATTTGGGTAAGTAGCCAAACTCTAGAGGCTCTTGACTATATAATCTTCGATTTTGGAATATATATGATGATTTGATTTCTTTTATCTTTTTATCTGTTCTTTTGTTTGGTATATTATTGATGTGATTATGTGCATAATATGAGGACTAACTTCAAAAGTTATATCCCCAAACCCGCTTCATGATTGGATTAGACTGGACATGACGGTCCCTTTCGATCTATCATCAATCAATCAAACTGCGTCGACTTCCTCAAATAAGACATTTGTAGGGCCGTAATATTTTTGCCTACTATACCTAGAACTTTCAAGGGAATATGGTAGGAATAAACCTAACAATGATCAAGCAACTCATATATTGGAAGGATCAAAGTTACGAGCCAAAGGAACTCAAGGGGGATCTCACTTATGCAACACCTTGTCCTCCTGCTTCCTCCATGATATCTTGTAGAACAGAGCCAAATTTACCTAGCCTTAAGGCCATGCTCGTTGTTCCCTATGGCCTCTCGCAGAGCCCTTACTTTGAAAGTGAGGTACGGTTCTATTGAAGAAGAGGTTGGTTTAGGAGGTTGAGGTGCCTCCGAACTTGAAAAATGTAAGAGTGAAGAAGTATCCGGTGCAGAAAGGTATATCTACGATAATGGACAAGTGAGGGATCAGAGAAGGAAGGCGTTTCATATACATGCTCCCCCTCGATCTTTTAACCATGCATCCCTTGATGATCGGTGGCATACAAGTTGTCAATTTCTTATATCATTAGATCCCAACTTGTGTAGAAGATTTACCCAACCTAATGGCCGACAAGGACCCTTCGGATTTCTTCCTTGAGGCGTCACACAATAGGACCGCCATTTCTAGTCATAATCATAAGCGACTTAGATTTTGATCCTTGCACCTTGAAGGACTGCAAGGTCGCCTAAATCTCATTCGAATTGATAAATAACAAAATAGAGGAAATCAAACATCAAGACATATGAATAAGATCAATCGTATTAAACCAAACATTGAGTTTTACATGGTTAGAACCACTAGGGTCACATACCTAAAAACTAAGGAACTTAGCCAGCCATGGGGAGGGACTCCTGGGTTTTCATCAATTGAAACGAAGACCGCAAAAGCCCATAGAAATCGTCGTTGATGACAGAGTAAATGGGGCCTAGGCCGCCGTTTTGGATCGTTTCTCCCTCAGAGGTTGGTTTTGTTCTAAGTTAGGAGTGTCACTTTGTCGACAGCGTAACGATCCTTCCTTGACTTGTCGTCTCTTCCTCTCCGAGTTCTACCTCTATAGCTCTATTTATAGGCTTTTGATTAGGCTTTCTATGGAGGAAATCTCGTAGTTCAAGCGTCATCCAGCAAATCAAAAGACTCCTAAGTCCTAACACATGGTCAGCAAATCATGAGGCTACGGGGCAACTTTATGACGAAGGAGTTGATCTCCACAAAATGGCGGCTGAATCGCCGGTTCACACTTAGGGCGCCATTTTGGGTGCCATTTCTTTAAGTAGTCCTCTCTTCGAATCGTGTATCCAGCAACTGGATCTTAATGTGCCCTACAATTTCCAAGTGGTCCACTAGTCTGCTTTGACATGAAAATGCACAAAACAGTACCAAAAGCATATCAATCGTAAAAAAGCAATCTTTGGGTTACCAAAACACACATAAAGCAAACATACCACGAATTCAAGGTATTATGAGGATAATTATAAGAAATGTATGCACTTTTTATTATAATATGGGCGTCTAGAATAGACATTTCTATGTGTCATCAAATATTCAAATAACCCCACACTTGAACTTTGCTTGTCCCCAAGCAAACCTAATTCCATCATCCTTCTCCTCACCAGATCTCCATAATGACATGTGACTTCCGCTCTTAGGTAGTGGATCATAAGAACCTTACAAGGTCAACCCTCACTTAGAGACTTTGATCCTTTGCAATGTGCTCAAAACATACTTCATAAGGGTGAAATGATTCGTCTTTCGTGAGATGCAGTTCTCTTAATTCGCAATGCCCTTTTTGTGCTACTTTAACGTGCATAAGGGGGTTTATTTTGCCTCGTACTTTGGTAATTAGTAAGCCTTGATCGAGCAAGGGCAGTTTTTTCTCTTTTCCCTTGATCGTGTGGAGGGTAAATGAAGTCAAGGGGTGTCGGAATCTTTATCTATGCCCTTGAAAGTACATTCTCAAGTTGGCAATCCTATCATACGGGTGAAAATTTCACTTGTACTAGAGAGGAACTAGAATCATCTCGTAGGCTTACCGCACCAAGACTCTGCTAGTATCTCTTCCAAAACCCGATTTTGCAAAGGATAGGAAACCTCACGCTTGGCTTTTTACCCCACACTTTATTTGTGCGACATCATCTATTGATGTAAACTTGACGTGGTAGAATTTTAAATGTATGAAACTACATATTGACCCCATTTTTGTTTTAAGCGCCGAAGACTCCTTCCTATGAGGAGGAGTTAGAGAACTCAAAAAGGATGGTAGGAAGCACCAATCAATATGTTTTTTTTAGAAGATGGATCCAATTTTCATTATAAGGACATTCTTCATAGCCCCTATGCTAGCATCCCTTCGATCACCTACTACCGCAGAGACTAGCAATTCAAAGTATGATGAACTTCGAATTTTCTTTGGGGGTGTGGCATTACTCGAAATTTCAGAATTTTATGCATAAAAGCACACTCAATCCTCTTTTCCCATATGCATGATCATTCAAAAAAGTATGGTATATAGGGTGAAGAACAGTCTACCTAATCCCACCCTACAATTTAAATGGAACAATGTCCTCATTGGACCAAGCAAGGACTATGGAGAAAGGTAGAACGAAGTTACCACATTGTTGAAATTCATGCAAATCGGTTAGTTTCCGATGTTTGGTTGTCCTATGAGGAACAAAAAAGTGTAAAATAGAGAGACCAAGTGCGTCATCTCCTCCTCTATAGAAAAACCTAAGAGATTTAGCTAAGTGGCTCTCTTAAGGTAATCCAACTCGAGATTGAGTGGAGAACCCACAATGCTAGGCAACATGCTAAAAGCACGGTCATAGTGGCATTGAACTCGTGATGTCATAAGCGACAAACACATATATGACCAATCGCTGAGTGTCTATATTATCTCAAAAGTGCAAATCCACAACGGATCATCATGAGACACCCTCACTCCCCCGTAAGAAGAAGAACGATTGCCAAGGGCTTACCAAGGCACCAATCATGTCATCAGGAGGCGTTCTTAAAGAGATTGGTATTAGATGAATCCCAATTGTCCACCCTACACTTTAGTTCTTTTCGTATCAAAGCTTCGAAGGAGCTTAGAATTGGAAACTGAAACCGATGTCGAATTGATGTAAAACACAGGATTATGTGTCGCTCGTCATAACGGCCGCATTGAAGATTCAATGGCGCGCAGCAGTAGTAAATAATTTGAAGCTTCTAAGTGGTTGAACCTTGGAGCGACGAAGGCATCCATAGAATACAATCAAAGAGACATATAGGGTGTTGAATCCTATGTTAAGCAGCTCAATCAAGATATACTTGTCTCAATTAAGGACCATCAAGTTATTTATAGGTTGAACGCCGAAATCTGTATACCATGATGGTGTTGCTTAGTAGTACATAAGATTCTTGTCCTACGCATTTTGGAAAATCAATGGCGAACCTCTTATTCGTTCATAAAAGAAGTGCTAAAACACCTTTCAATTTCATGAGCTTCTAAAGTTGACCACAATTAACAAACACAACTTGATAACATAAAATTAATAAACCCACAAAACAATCCCTTCTCATCACTAACACCACGATTCCTGAATTTCGTTTATCATTATCCTTAAGCATGAGCTCGTTGCTGCCCTCTATCACTATTTCTTCATATTTCCCCGTCCCATAGTTCCTCGAGAGTTTTGTATGGACTTTTGCTCTCGTGCAACGCAAAATCTCCCCGTAGAAGCCTTTGCTGCATTGTGAAATCGAGACAACACCAACTTCAGATCATTTTAAGGAAAGGATCAAGTGTTAAAGCGTAGGGGCTGCTATGTCAGAATAGAAACCTGATGGACTTCAGAGAATTTCGAGAACAGATCGAGAGGAATGCACCAATCGAACAAGCTTATATTTTCCTTGAGCCTGGATTCATTGACACTCTTCGGAAGCACACTGTGACCACTCTGGATCCCCCAACGCAATGCAACTTGCGCTGGGGATTTCTTCAGCTTCTCTGCAATTTCAATTAGGACGGGCTCTTTCAAGATCTCTCCCTTAACCCATGAACCCGGTGATCCCAATGGCGAATACGCCTGCCAATTTGGATAGACATAAGTGTTCCCATTTGAGCAAACCAATCTCCAGAAAATCACCATCAACAACAAGATAGGAGAAGAAGAGATTAATACCGAGAGATGGACTCCAGCTGATTTGCAGAATTCATGAAGCGCAGGCTGCTGCCAAACAGGATGGCATTCCACCTGGTTGACTGCTGGAGGCACTTTCGCGTAACCCACGAGGTCTTTCAGCTTCTTAGTAGAGAAGTTGCTAACACCAATCGCACGAGCCTGACCAGAAGCCTGCAAAGCTTCCATGGCTGCCCAGGTCTCTGGCAGGCATAATGGAGCCATGACTTCAGGATCCCACCCCTTGGAGCCTGACTTTGTCCGAAATGGCCAATGGATCTTTGTAACACATACTCAAACAGTCGATCAAAATAAGCGGCGTCACTAGAAAACCGTTCAAATTTTAGGAAGAAGAGAAGCTAGAGATGTGTATATACCAGGTACAGATCAACGTAGTCGAGCTGCAGATCTTGTAAGCTCTTTGCTAGTGCCTTTGGCACATCTTCAGGAGCCTGGTCACTGCACCTGAAAACCCCCAAACGTAGACATAGCAGTTCAAGTTGACAAATTCGTTCCTGGAGACTAAATTTTGGGACAGTACACAGCTAAAATAATCGCTTAGATTACCATAGTTTAGATGTGATGAATAACTCACTCCGCTGTACAATTCCAGAAGCAAATAACTCGCTCAGTGCTTTCCCCACCTGTATCACAAAAGCTTCTCAATACGCATAACCAGAATCTATGCGGATCATCCGCTATTCCCATTCTTCGTTTGCGAGAAAAGAGTGGAAAGATTACCTCTTTCTCATTATCGTAAACACGGGCACAGTCAATGTGTCTGTAACCAGCCTACAATACGAATCCCCGGCTAGAATGTTAATTCACCACTCAATGCAATTGAAACAAACGAAAGACATGGTAAGGAGTTTCGATCAGAACGGAGTTACCTTGACCGCGGCTTTGACAGCTTCGCCGACTTCACCGGGTGGAGCTTTCCATGTCCCGAGGCCGACTGCCGGCATCTTCGCACCTGTATTCAGATCAAAATACAAGGGTCCGTGCTTGTTCTCTGTACCCATGATTGTGTGTTGCAGAATGCAGAGAGAAAGATATCGAAAGAACTGGGGTTTTTTTCAAGCGCTCTACGATCTGGAGATTAGACTAGATAAGTCCGAATAAGTAAGGTGCCGTTTCGATGCGAAATCCACTGAATCCGTTGTTATATAAGGTAATCCAAAACACAACAGCTTCGTGATTCCTAGATATCCACGGCACTCTAATTATGGACTTGGCGTCGCACGGAACAAAAACTGAGAGAAAAAGAGTACAGGAAAACAGCTCAAAATCCCATTTACCCAAGTTAATAATGCGATCTGATTACCCCGAGGCCCGAGCGGAAGCTCAAGATCATGAATCGTTTAACAATCCCTCACGAACAGCTAAAACGTTAACTCATATAGTGATCCCATTATCAATTCTAGTGAAGTCTCCCGACATAACGATAGGAAAGCCGAGCAGGAGAAAGTTGAGAATCTGTGTTTCAATTCACCACTGATTGTTCCTCTACTAGAGAAAACATGACTTTTAAAAAGAAAAAGAAAAAAAAAAGAGAGCAAATATCCCTCTCTCTCTCTCTCAACCAGACATTAGACTAGCTAACTCTTGAAACAGTTTGCTGGGAAGAGCTCTCTTTCCCTCTCTACTTTTGCACAAACTTCTTGATGTTGTCAAGCCAATTCACGTACTCTTTGCTGTCCTTGTTCCCCATGTAGTCTATCAGAAAGTTGGTTGTCTTTGGATTGATCCCTCTGATCTCCAAATACTTGAGGAAAGCTTTCTGCAAGTTCTCGTCCAAGTCACTGCCAACAAAGATAAAAGGGAAATCATCAAAGTTAGTAGTTAGCAAAACCAATGCCCCTCAAAATCAATTCACAAGAATCTTAAAATCTTTCACAGTTTACCCAAAATCAGGGCCTTCATAAGGAAGCTGTTCCTCCGTGCTTGATGGGTTCTTAATTGACAAGCTATCCACAGAGATCTCATCGGGGAAAGCTGTGATACCAAACTCAAGCTCCTGCCGACTCCCCTTGGAAATGGTGACAACCATAGGGATGCTAGTTGTCGATTTGTCATTGTTTTCATTAGCATTGTTATTATCACTATCTTCTTCTTCCTCCTCATCACCATCAACATTCAGCATATCAACTTCAACCTTGATAGTTTCGCCCTCAAACTTCCTTGTGAGAGTGATGGTCCTCTCACCATCAATATCTTCTATTTCAAAAGGGAAACCAGCTGGGACTTCGCTATCCTGTTTAGGCAAATCCCGACTATCAATTATACCAAATTTCACTAATTTATCACCCAAGATTCAACCGTATGAAGTCAGGCAGAGTATATTTGCTAATCTGACATCTAAAGCACGTTTTTTTTTTTCTTCTTCTTCTTTAAAACGGACGAAAAGGAATTGAGGGAAAGTAGGCATACGCATGGTTCCTCAGCACATTCGATCTCAGCCTCGAGCACCCGAACGAGATTATCCTTGTTTGCAACCGCGGCGGTGGAGAATCGGAGAGGAGAAGTGAAACCACGGTGAGCAATCTCACGGCCGAGACTCTGCTTTTCGGTGGAGAGAACGGTTGAGACGGCGGTGCGGAAAGTTCTCGGAGAAGCGGCGGCACGGATCGCGCGAGGAAGAACAGAAGAAGAAGCTCTTCGAAGCATGGAAGCGAAGGCCATGGCGTCGAGGCTTTGGGGACGGTGAGAATTTGGAAGAAACTTTGGTGGGTATGTGGGTACTGCGGATTACTCCAGTTAGGGTTTATGGACAGGGTTTAGCTTTTATAGGCAGCAGGCAAAGGAAGTCAATCGTAAATGCCAAGCCAAACGCCCTTAGGCTTAATTTTCCTCTTCTTCTCTCGGGCGCGTTCGGAAATTTACAGTTCTTGGACTTCTGCTCTAGATCGGCCCATCACGTTTGGGCCTTCCACGTGCATGAAGGTTACACGTCTTGTGCTCTCGCTAATATGGGCCTCCTACGATCTTGCGGGGAATGTTGCAGGGATACTGTCGTCAGAGCCAGTGAAACTTTCATTGTTCAATCAAGTAAGTTTCTTCAATCTTCACAATTTTCTTTCTATGAATGGTATTGTTGTATTTCATCAAAAAACGCATTTGACAATAACCCTTGTCAACCAGGTTTCAATCTCAAACTATCAACTAATTACATTATAAGAGCCTCATCTAATATACATGTACCTTTTCTATCAACCATTTGCATTATACCTCATTATAATTCACTAGAACAACAACTTCACTTCACACCTGCAACACTAAACCACGCACCACCTTCCTTGTTTGTCAAAAGCTGTCTGACACCTTTCTCTCCAAACCCAACTTACCAGAGATGTCCACAACACTCCCCCAAAAGCAACAGGGGTCTTCCCATTAAACTTCTCCAGTGCTCAGATTATTTCATCTTCCTATCGATTTGCAGGCACATTCACATGGCCAAAAATATGAAAATGAAACTACTTAAAACATAAGGGAGCCTGTGAACACATGTTCTCTTGTTTCCAATTCATGCTAACAAAACACACAAAGAATTCCCAGACTATCCTCATTTCTTCATCACATCATATGTTTGTATAGACTTGTTAGCAATGAACCAAACAATGAATTGATTTGTAGGGGAGAACTTCTACTATGCTCTAAAGTATGAGTGCTTTAATGTACAACTTGAAGTTGTACCATAACGTTAAATGTATAAGTTTAGGTTGTACCATAAAGGAATTTGTACCCTTATGTTATGGTACAACTTTACAACTTAAAGTTGTACCATCACATAAATGTACTAATTCAAGTTGTACCATGAAAGAATTTATACAAAAAAGTATAGGTACAATCTAAAGTTGTACCATAACATTAAATGTATAACTTCAAGTTATACCATAAAGACAAAAACCTATAGCACCAATGCTATATAGCATAGTAAAATTCCTCTTTGTAGGGATAGATGGCCCTTCCATATTAATCTATGCTAAGCCCCCATAGACATTGTATAGACTTCTTAGTAATGAGGCATTGAAATGTTATTTCAAAACATCACCCCATTGCTTACTCTGAATGAGATTGCACCAACCACCTTGCTTTAAAGATCTTCTTCCAGTTCCACGAACCAGCCATGCCTTCATATTGTCAAAGTTATATGGGTTAGAACTTAATCCAGATAGGGTTCTAAACTTACTTAGCACATCCTTCAAACATTTAATCCTCGTATTAGTACCATTTTTGAATTTAACAAATCATCATCAAAGAACATATGCGTGAGTCCCATTCTCTTACATGTTGGATAGTAGTCATGTTTGGCCACTAACTCATCAAGCAGAATAAAATCTCCACGGAATTTCAAACATGTAAGGGGATCCCCTTGCACGAACCCTTTATGTGAAGAAAGATAACTTACAAGACCTCATTAAATGCAACAATAAGCATAGTATTCGTAAGATCATGTTGATCCAACTGACAAATCTTCAAGAAACCCCCATAGCTAACATCACCTTAAAAACAGAAACACCACTCCACATAGTCAGACAATTTCCTTAGGTCGATCTTCAAAGTACTTCTCGAAAATATATTATTTTGGTTATATTTATGTATCAGTTCATGGGCAGGCCTAATTTTCTCCCCAACAACTCTTGCTTCTTGCAATTTCAATCATACTTGATTGGCATGATTTCAAAGATTAATAATGTGGAATGTATTAAGATTAATTCAATTATAGTGTCCCAATTTATATATAAGTTTGTTGTCAAGTTGCTAGCTTCTCATTTGGCTCGAATATTACTTCACTTGATTACTTCAAAATATCATGCTTTCTTTTCAAGATAGGAAAATGTTGACCATATTTCGGTGGCTCATGAGGTTATGCATGTTATCAAGAGTAGGCAGTGGGGGAGAGATAAGTTTAAGTGCATAAAGTGTGATATGAAGAAAGTCCATGATCGAGTTAAATGGCAATTTCTTTTTGTTCTTCTTCGAAAGATTGGTTTCTCTCAAATTTTGATCAGTTGGATTAAAAAGTGTGTTAGTATCATCATTTTTTCAATTCTTAATAATGGGTAGTTATTCCAGGTAATAATTTTTTAGTCAATTCTCGGTCAATGGACCAAAGCAATACATTTTTATTCAGTGCCATTTTTATTCTGACCAACTAAATTGTGCAAAAAACCAGGCTTGAGAGCCAATAGTTTCCCTCCGATGATCAAGTCGGTGAGGGAGAACCAAGAAAAACGGGGTGGAGAGAAGTATGAGTTTCAGGGAAAGAAATTCGTTACCCTTATGATAGTCGGAAGTCAATATATATGAATGGGGTGGTCATCAGGATCTTACGAGTTTATCTAGTCATTCTATACCATTAGAAAGAGCGATCATGATCATGAGCAATCATACGCATTTAGAATTTTTTGGTCGTGACCAAGTGTTGGAGACTATAGCAATATGACAAGTGTGACAAGAATACTTTTTTTTCAAAGGATGACCCTTTTGAAACTTTGAGGAAATGATCTTTCCCTATTTCATCCGTTGTCTTTTAGTAGCACTGAAGGAGTTTCTTTAGTCGGGTGACGATAGTGTCAATGGTGTTTTTACTCCATCTTATATGACTTTCTTGAGTGGACATTTGTTATGTAATTTCCCCTTCTATTGTTGAACATTAAATATTCAACCATTTTCAACCAGTATGAGGTGACACACCTTTATCTCGTGGGTCGGAATCAATTGAAGAGATTTCTCTAGTGCCAATCATCTTTGTCAGATAATCTAAGTTTTCAAACATTGATGTGAAAATGTCTGAATAGAATGCACATGCTAAGGATGTCTCCTCGCACTCTAGATTAACCTCCCAATCTTGTGCATCTAGTGTCATATCTTCTAGCATTTTATGCATTTGATCGGGTATCTTGTTTCTCACGTAAACTCTGTCGGTCATATACATTTGATTTCTGCAATCATTTGTTAGGCTTTACAGAAGAAGTCCACTTTAAGTCAGTCTTGAAATCAATGGTGAGGAAATTTGAGGAGTATCGCGTTAAACCATTCGAAAACCTCAAACAATCGTGATCTCTAATGTAATGTGAAATTGAATATCTCTCCTTGTATGTGGGCCATCTTGGAAGGTGGCAAGTATCGATTAAGGAATTTCACACAAAGTTTCTTCCATGATATGATGGAATGATGGCGTTGGCTTGCTAACCATCTGCTTGCTATCCATCCAAGGGAGAAAGGAAATAATTAGGAGAATGGTTTCTTTGGAAATTCTTCCCACCAATTCCATCGATGAATGAAATGAAGTCTTTCATGTGTCGATGTGGATCCTTATCCTTAAGCCATTGAAAAATGGACCTGAATTATCATTGAGGAATGTATGTCTTCGATACTCGACAAGACTAATATCCCATAGTTCACTCCTTTGGACCCTCATCATTCCCAACTCCTTGTTCTTCTACGGTGTGCTTTTCAGTTTGTAGGATTTCTTGAATTACTTACCAAGAACGCTATACACTAGGCTCACAACAACACGTGAAACATATAACGGTAAAGAAAAACTTAAGTGTAATGAAACTAAGAGCTAAAAGAAATGACTAAACTAACATCTAATCTTATTTCACCATGTTTTCATAGTTGTCCCCGACAATGGATCCAAAACTTGACTCAAAGTAAGAGAAAACTTCGTTGGTACATTTTACTTGCAAACCGAACCTAGAAAAATTGTACCCTATAATAACATGCAGAATAGTGGTGACCCTTTACTAAGGTCGTATTACACGAGAACGGGAAACTATTGCATCTTAAAGGATTACGTTGTTATCGAGTCTAATAATTGATGAATTTATAAACTAATAAACTACATTTGCTATAAATCAAAGGTAAAAAAATGGTGAAATAATACTTAGGGATGTTGTCCCTCCAACCTAACTCATGGGAATGTATCATCAATGGAATCCATTTGTTTAATATCTAGTAATTATGGTACACAAATATCTAATTAGGCAATTTGGTCAATGTTCGTGCACTCAATTTCTCTCCTAGCTGTGGTCACCAACTCGATGGTCAGTCATTTAATTATTCACCATAATTAAGGATAACATAATTCTTGTAACTAGAACAAGCCCACAACCACCATAATTAAGTAAAAACATAATTCATGTAATTATTAAAGGTGGGAATTTGGTTGCGGTTAAACCCTTTACTACATCGAAACTGCGCAATTAGTGGTTAACCGCAAATTAAAAAGATAGGGGATTTTGCGGTCTCGGTTAGCTATATTGCATGTTTTGCGGGTTAACCGCAAACGAGCAACATGTAATCGCATTTTAACCGATTACTAACACGGTTACCTGCGATTAACCGCGGCTAATGTGATTAACAGTGACACAACGGCACAAACATAGACCAAAATGTCCCCAAACCATAAAAATGGTTAATAACACGGTTAACCGTGGTTAACCATTAATCGCACTTTGCGGTTAGTGATTAACCGCAAACCATTTGCGGTGCATCGTGATTGGCGTATATGGCTCCGTTACGGTTGCGGTTAACCGCAAATTTTGGTGCGGTTAACTGAAACCACATCGATTCCTAGCCCTAGTAATTAGGACAAGTCCATAATCAAACAACTAAGCAACTCAATGGTATGTAGATTATCTAGTTGTTGTACTTAATTTAGTTCTAATACCAAACTGAATGGTCATCTTAATGGTTCAAGCACCAAATCATTATCCACACACAATTAAGATATGAACAAGTATTAAAATAAAGCAAAAAAACACAATATACTA